GTGGATGATCTCCTGCCAATTTCTTATCTAGAGAGGTTTTGAAGAACCAGTCTACTCACCAGTTCTTCTGTCTTTGCCATGGTCATCAGCTCCACTTTTGCAGAGACATCTTCAATTCATATCTTCTTAAGAAGTCCCCAACCCTTCTTTCTGCTTCCAACTTCTGGTGTATCGAAACTATAAGAGAATTATTTTAGCATCAGGGACAGAAAATAACTAGAATCCTCCCCTACTTGCATCAACAGTTCAATAATACATGAAATAATTAAACGACCTCTTAGGGAACCCAGCCTGATATTGTTTTCTCATTATGCTAAGTGGTAAAATTAGCAGTGCTTTGGATGTTGAACCTGGAATAGGATAAATCTCAATAGCTATATGAACACATATATCCCCTTTTACTATGATTCTCTTGGAAATAAAAAGTGAACAGGGTAAATAAATTTTTAATACAAGTAACTAGGAATTGCAGAAGAAATTTTAACTTATCCAAGTCTATGGTTATTTGCTCCCAGTTAACGATGTTATCTTTACTTGAAAATATATGTTCCACTTGTCCATATGTACAAAGATTAGTGGTAGAATTTGGATTTCCATTTGGATCTGTGGCTTCTAATCAATACCGGGACTGAATTTTGGGGAAGTGGAATGTAACAAGTATGGTTAAATACATTCCGATAGAATTATTTAAAATTCAGATTTGAAAAAAATCTGAAAGGAGAAACTGTAAAATGGAATCTATTGAAATTTTTTTACCAAAGAATATTGTGGAATGCTGAAGTAAAATATGAAAATATGAGAAAAGCAAAACATTGGGACAGAAATATTGGTGAAATAAAATCTATGGAATAGAAGAGTTGAAAAGAATATGTACAGTAGGTGGACTCTATGAACTGAAGGAAATATAACTGAGGGCTGCATTGTTATAAGCATATATAAATGTGTACTCTGGTAAGTAAATCCCATTAGGGTGAATAATAATTATAACTGTAGATGAATTACATCTGTTCATATCTTTCTGACACTTGTGAATATTCGCCCAGAAACAGACATGATTGACCAGATAGCGTCATCACCAACTGTAGATAGGGTTCCAATATGACTCCTGTCATAAATATACAGGTAGTCCTCAACTTACAACAGTTCATTTAGTGACTATTCAATGTTACAGTGGCACTGAAAAAAGTGATTTATGACCATTTTTCACACTTATGACCATTGCAGCATCCCCATGGTCATGATTTACATTCAGATGCTTGGCAACTGTCTCACATTTATGACGGTTGCAGTGTCTGGGTCGTGATTCCCCTTTTGCGACCTTCTGACAAGCAAAGTCAATGGGGAAGCCAGACTTGCTTAACAACAACCGTGTTACTAACTTAGCCCACTGCAGTGATTCACTTAACAAATGTGGCAAGGAAAGTTGTAAAATGGGACAGAGCTCACTTAATGAATTTCTCACTTAGCTACCATAAATTTTGGGCTCCCTTGTGGTTGCAAGTTGAGGACTACCTGTACTTGAAACTGCGTCATGCTTCATCATCCAGGAAATCTTTTTCAATTTCTGGAATTATAGAGCCAGGTGTTTGTTTTGGAAGATGGACTTTGCTCATTTCTTTTTAAATGGATTTCATCACTTGGAAACCTGACGCCAGGGATTTTAGAACTGCAAAATGGCGATCTCATATTCCAACATTTAGCATCCATTTTAAATCGCAGAGACATTTTCATAATGTGAAAGTACAGTACTGCTCAGGATGGACCTCTTCCCCCCCCCCCCCCCCCCCCCCCAAAAAAAAAAAAAAAAAGCTAAAGGCTTTGTTCTGATAGTCTATGGAGATTCTCAGTCATCCAGGTCATAGTTGTCCCAAAGATGCTTTTTCAGGAGGCAACTGGACTACCTTATTTTTTTATTTTTTTGGAAGCAAATGACCAGCTGTAGGCAAAGAATATAATAAATCCTTCCATTCCCCACCATCCAGTCAGAGCTGAAGAGGCTTCTTGGATGAGAAGTGAAACCTCTTCAAAGAAAAAAAAAAAGAACAAGAAAGTCAGTCCAGTTGTCTCCTGAAAAAAGCAACTTTGGGGCTTTGTTCTGATGATTTCACTTCTGACAGATGGTTGTATTTCGTTCAGACGTCCTGACACCGAACATCTGCCTGGAGGTTGCAGGCTGTATTTTGGGGACGCAACAAGGCTGCATCCTGCCCATACCCTTTTATCCTTCTTGGTGATTTCAATCTACCTCATATTGACTGGACCCTAAATGACTGTACAACTGAAATCATACACACAACCTTCTATAATGCTATTACAAATCTGGGACTGGAACAACTAGTAACCAACAACACTAGACTAAACAACTGCCTTGATCTCATCTTCTGCAATAGTTTGAATTTAATTTACGGAATACAAACTAAAGAACCCTTTTCCAGTAGTGACCACAATATGATTGACTTTTGTCTCAACATACGTCCACACAAAAATCACCACTATGATGTAATCCCCAATTGTAACTTCAAAAAAGGCAACTATGATCTTATAGACAACGATCTCTCATCCCTTGATTGGCAATCTCTATTCACTGGATGCAATACTGTTGAAGACCATTACAACATATTTTTACTTGAAGTCAAAAGAGTCATCAAACTGTATGTTCCAACAACAACTCCCAAAACAAAACAAAAAAGCAGATTACCCATATCAATAAGGAAACTTCAATCCAAAAAGAGATCACTCTGGCGGAAAAACAAATCTGGTCACGTTGCCAATTTCAAAAACCGATACAAAAATTTATGCCACCAGATAAAGACCGAATGCACCAATTATCACATTAAACAAGAGGAAAACCTTCTAAGCACCAATTCCACCCGTGCTTTTTACAATTTTGTAAACAACAAACTAAAAGACTCAAGGTCCATCCCTCCCTTGATAGGACCTGATGGTAAAGACTGCAACGACGACACCATTAAATCCAACATCTTTAACATATTCTTCGGCTCAGTATTTGTAAACAGCAATGGATCATGCCCAGTATTTCCTAGCCGTACCACAGATAACAACAATGATCTAATACATATCGATTTCACAGAAGACAATGTTGAAAAATCACTACGCAATCTAAAACCATCTCTATCTATTGGACCGGATGGAATATGTGCCTACTTCTTAAGAAAGCTATCCACTGCCATAGCCAAACCTCTAAGCATAATCTTTGAAAAATCTTTCAGAACCAGCTCCTTGCCTAACCTATGGTCACAAGCCACAGTCATCCCCATCTTCAAAAAGGGAGACCCAAGCCTAGTTGAAAATTACAGGCCAATCTCCTTATGCTGCGTCACCTGTAAAGTCATGGAATCAATTATTAACCAATCCATTATCCTCCACTTAGAGACAAACAACCTACTCTCCAATAAACAATTTGGTTTCAGAAAAAAACTATCCTGTAATCTGCAACTCTTACACTGCAAAAACATATGGACGACACAACTCGACCAGGGCAAAGCAATAGACGCAATCTACATAGACTTCTGTAAAGCCTTTGATTCAGTGGTACACGACAAACTACTCCTAAAAATAAAATCCTATGGTATCTCTGGACAACTGAATAACTGGATAGAAGCATTCCTGTCAAACAGACAACAAATGGTCAAAATCGGGAGCGTCCTATCAAATCCAGTACCTGTCAATAGTGGTGTCCCCCAGGGCAGTGTTCTAGGACCAACTCTCTTCATACTCTACATAAATGACCTCTGCGATCATATTAAGAGCAATTGCGTTCTTTTCGCTGATGATGTAAAGCTGTTCAATACCACAGACAATACTGCTACCCTTCAAAAAGATCTCGACTATGTATCTGAATGGTCAAACAAATGGCAACTTCAAATCTCAACAAATAAATGCTCTGTCTTACATATTGGCAAAAAAAATCAGAAAATAAAATACAAGCTGAATAGTCAAGAACTTGTTGATGACCCAAGCTCTGTAAAGGACCTTGGAATACTCATCTCTAATGATCTAAGTGCTAGAGCCCACTGCAACTACATAGCCAAAAAGGCATTAAGAGTTGTTAACCTAATCCTACGTAGCTTTTTCTCTGGTAATATCACACTACTAACCAGAGCATACAAAACATTTGCTAGACCAATACTCGAATACAGTTCATCAGTCTGGAACCCTCATTACGTATCTGATATTAGCACAATTGAGAAAGTCCAGAAATATTTCACAAGGAGAGTTCTCCACTCTTCTACTCGTTGTAGAATACCTTATGCCACCAGACTTGAAATTCTAGAACTAGAAAACCTTGAATTACGCCGTCTTCGGTCTGACTTAAGCATGGTATACAAAATCATACATTGCAATGTCCTACCTGTCAATGAATACTTCAGCTTCAACCATAACAACACAAGAGCACACAATAGATACAAACTCAAAGTAAACCGCACCAAACTTGATTGCAGGAAATACGACTTCAGCAACAGAGTGGTCAACGTCTGGAATACTCTACCCGACTCTGTAGTTTCTTCCCCAAACCCCAAAAACTTTAACCTTAGACTGTCTACTATTGACCTCACCCGCTTCCTAAGAGGTCTGTAGGGGGCGTGCATAAGCGCACCAACGTGCCTACCGTCCTTGTCCTATTGTTTCTCTTATTCTTTTATTTTTCTTATATGTACCCATTTCATGTATTCACAACTATGTATACGCTTATACTTATTATCTTGTAAACAATTGGCAAATCAAATAAATAAAAAAATAAAATAAATAAATAAATAAGGCAATGGCAACACTGCCGAGAAACTCTTAAGCGAGAGTCTTCAAACTTGGCAAGGTTAAGACTTGTGGACTTCAACTCCCAGAATTCCTAAGCTAATATGACTGGAGGAGGAATCCTGGGAGTTGAAGTCCACAAGTCTTAAAGTTGGCTCGGTTGCAGGGCCTTGCTCTAAAGCATCTTAACTTATTGTAATTGATTTGCTTCCTGCCGGAGGCTAGTCTTGTAAGAGATGTGCTGAAAACTCTGGGCAATACGCCGTTCCGCCATAGCTTTTGCATAAAGGAAAAGGAAAAACAAAAACAAAACCCAGCCCGCAACTCCGGGCGTTTACTGATCGGCCCGTGTCACGTGTGTTGCTCTCCTGCAGTTGAACTCCCGGGTTAGCTCAAGATTAGAAGGATCGCTTGACAGCAGCCTTATTTTTCTTGCTGTGCGGCCCCCTTGTAAATTGTTCCTGCACCAGAGAGTAAGTAGCCACGTTTAATGGAGATTCCTGAGGTTTTGCATTCATGACTCACTCATGCATTTGCATTTGAGGCGTATTATATAGTACGGCAAAGGACAAGGGTAAGGCTTTCAGGTTGCATATATTATTGCACTGTATCCCTGGGTAAGTATATTTTTATAGATGATGAAGTTTTGAGGCAATGCATACCTGCAGCTATAAATCAGCTATTATTCAAAACAAATGTCTATGGAGATTTTTAGTCATCCAGGTCATGGTTGTCCCAAAGGTGCTTTTTCAAGAGGCAACAGGATTTGCTGGGTCCTCTCTTTCTCTCTCTCTCTCTCTCCTTCCTTCTTTTCTTTTCCTTCCTTCTGTTCTTTTTTCTTTCTTTCCTTCCTTCCTTCTTTTCTTTTCCTTCCTTCCTCTCTTTCTTTCCTTCCTTATAATAAGGCAGAGTATAAATAAATAAAATAATATGATCCCTGGTTATATTTTCTTGAGTTATGTAGCCCTTTTTCTCAGATTACCTATACATAGAACAGGATAGCTGATTACTTACCATAGAGATTGTATGAGAAGCACAATAGTTGCATGTTTTTGTACATTGATGAAGTCTGGAATGAATATGTTTTTTCCCCCTATTTGTATTCATCCTCCCTCCCTGAGGTACAGAAATGAACTCAAGGTAACCTAATCAAGCAATTCAGGCTGAGAATCTTGTTTTCTTTTCATCTGTTTGTACCTGTTTTGTATCTTACTCAGCCCAAAGGTTGGGAAAAATAATTGTCTAAAAGAATATAATTCCAGTGTTTTGTATTTAATCAAGCATATAGGTAAATCATATCACAAACAACCCTACATAAGTTACTTGATTTATCCTACTTTTTCTTCATGCAAAGTTTATTTCTCTCCACAGACACCATGTACAATATGGCAAAATGCTAATCCAAGCTGACTTTTTTTTTCCAGAATAGTTAGTGAATCTGAGATTGTCCAAAGACTTTACTCTCAAGTAGGGAAGTGACAAGCGAAAACATACAGGATGTCTTTTAAATATCCATCTTAAAGCATGGAAGCATTTCTTTTTTAAAAAGGCAATTTTTAAAAGGTTTTCTATATGCTATAGACAATTAAAAGGCAGAGCAGTAATTTAAGTAATCTTACTGCAAAGGTAAATTTTCAGGCAATAATTGTAAGAGGTAAGAGGATGAGAGATGATGTAATTTAGCTCTCAGGATTTCCATTAATTAAAGCATGTCTAACTTGAGCATTAGTTCAGAAGGATTTAGTCTCTGATCACCATCAATATGATCCAGCTTAAATGTTGTGTTATGTTCCAGGATGGGATTGGACTGGATTGGCTTCGGCTATGCAGCTTTAGTAGCTTCTGGTGGAATAATTGGCTATGCAAAAGCAGGTAAGAGATTGGTGTCTCCTTGTTCATAGTGTTCTTAAAATGGAAAGTTGTCAAGTAAGTAGTATGTTCCCCAACATACATTTTTCAGCCTCCATTCTGATAATAAAGCTGCCGTTATTCTTGTGATAAGATGGTGTTAAACTGTTGCAGGGAATAGTTTCCTCCTATTTGAGGTACTGGTTTGGGGTGATAATCTCACAAACCAGCCTCTGCTGCTGCAGACTGATATCTTATTGTAACACCCAATTTGTATGGTACAAATGACCTTGTTTTTGTCTTTATTCATTTATTGTTTTACTTGCATTTTGATCTACTGAAGAGTTAAAAGCAACCCAAAAGTTCTCTGGATAAGTAGGACTGAGGACATGCGCTACAATTTATTGCTTTAATTAGTGTTTGAAAGATCCATATTCTGTCTACGATTCTTGAAGTTAAAAAAATAGATATTTTTTCATCAATTAATGGCACACTTTCAATTTCAAAACTGACCTATGAAGTATGACTGATGGTTTCTTGAAAATCAATGAAGCTAATATATTTTAATTTTAATTTTGAAAGAGGAAAAAAATGCTTTTTAATTGAAGTTTCTCCCTTTCCTGGAGTGCTTTTGAAGGGAACGCAATGTTTTTGCCAGGTCTTTACACTGATCTAATAGAAGATTCTATGAAGATAACAACTTTGATTTATGTATTCTTGGAAGAAAACTATATGTTTTCCTGTCACTAGCACAAGAGCATTTTTAATAAATGATTATTAATCACGATATAAGTAATAAATAATAGGGAACTGTGAATATCACTGTGAAAATCAGAGTATTACAACAAAAATTCCCTTAGCCTATCTTCTTTTCTTAATTTATCTGTATAAATGCCATCTGCATCCAAAACCTGCTAGTGTAAATTTGCGGTCTGGTAAGACTTTTTCATATTATATACAGTTTACCATCTCACTGGCAGACTGCTAATTGCTCATCCTAGCCTTTGAGGATAAGTAAGAATTGTCAAATTCTGTTTTGTTGTTCTCGTCATTCATCTGAACTCCATTGTGAGTTAGAGATCCTAGGACTAGAAATAAAAGCAATGATATCAGTCATGCATTTAATACAACTGCTTGGACAACTTTAAAGAGACTTTTGAGTCCTAATACTGACATGTATTTCTAGAGCCTTTTGAAGTGTATTCATAATTACCAGCAATCCTCATTTACTACCAGTTGCTTGGTAGTTAAATTATCAAAGTTAAAATGGAGCCTCCCAAAAGGGACTTGGTTCTGGAGTTCTGACAGCCTCACACAGACATACAACCTGTGGTCATGTTATTGTATTTTTGTGTTTTGTTTCACATTTATGACCTTTTGTATTGTTCCATGATCATATGACCATGATTTTGCATGTTTTTTTGCTGGTTTCTGGCATTTACTTCCAGTTTCTAGCAAAAAACAGCCATTGAATAAAATGGATTTGCTTAACGACTATAGTGTTCACTTAACAACCATAACATTCACTTAACAATTATACTGTTTGCTTAATGACCATTGCAAAAAGATAATAAATTGGTGAGCCACTTACTGACTGCTACAACTTACAACCATAATTCCAGGCTCAGTTATGGTTGTAAGTCAAGACTACCTGTATGATATCAGTCTTTTTGCAACCTCATAATAATCTTGTAAAGATGAAAGAGAAATGGCTCCATAAAAGGAGATCATAAGGTCTTTTAGTAGAGCTCACGATGCTTCGGTTCCAAATAGATTTAACCTGTAAATAGAACAGGAAACATTAGCAATCAATATTGAAAGCCCCTGCAAATTTGATTTAACAGGACAATTCAAAAACATTAATATTTTTTAAGGTCAACTCTCCATATATAAACTCCTAATAGAACTAAAAATAGTCTCCTCAGCCATTTTCATAGAATAACACAGGATAATCCTCTTCGAAAGTAATGCTCTCCAAAGATTTATTGTAATGACATCAAGGTCAATGTGAAGTTTTATGAAGAGAATGCTGCATTAGAGGAAAGCAAAAATACACTTTAAACTGATTCCCATTTGCTTTGTTTAGGCAAGCAATTAATATTCTAGATAAGTTTGTGAGAGCCAGCTTGACGTAATGATTAAGGCACCAGGCTAGAAATTGGGAGTTCTAGTTCTATGGTAGGCACAAAGCCAGTTGGGTGAACCTGGGCCAGTCATTCTCTCTCATCCCTGAGAAGCAGCCAGTGACAAACCACTTCCAAAAATCTTGCCAAGAAAATTACAGCAACTAGTCCAGGCAGCTGCCAGGGGTCAAGACACTTTGAAGGTGCACACACAAAAATATAAGACCGTACTCTTTATATTTGTCATTAGTTTCATTAGTTTTATTACCAACATTCAGGAAGGGGCTTTATTTCTCTTTCTTCAACTATATATCAGCCATTCTTCCTTCTACTCCATTTTATTTTTCTCCATGCGATCCTCCTTTCCTTTTCTCTCTCCATTCTTTTGTTTCCAATATCTTTTAAATGATGCCCCCTGATTGGTGGTACTTAATCCTTCCTGTTTAATAGATTTTACAAGGAAACTAACACCCCAATGAAGCCTAAAAAAAAAAATCCCAACCAAAGGTTATAACAACAACCAAATACTACTGCCTGTCCAATATCTATTTCTCCTTAATACCACTTTGTAATGCCTTGGTAAGGCCACACTTGGAATACTGCATCCAGTTTTGGTCACCACGATGTAAAAATGATGTTGAGACTCTGGAAAGAGTGCAGAGAAGAGAAACAAAGATGATTAGGGGACTGGAGGCTAAAACATATAAAGAACAGTTGCTGGAATGCCTAGTTTAATGACAAGAAGGACTGGGGTGACATGATAGCAATGCTCCAATATGTCAGAGGCTGCCACAAAGAAGAGAGAGTCAAACTATTCTCCAAAGCTCCTGAAGGCAGGACAAGATGCAATGGCTGGAAACTAATCAAGGAGAGAAGCAACTTAGAACTAAGGAGACATTTCCTGATGGTTAGAACAATTAGTCATTGGAACAACTTGCTTCCATAAGTTGTAAATGCTCTAACACTGGAAGTTTTAAAGAAGAGATTGGATAACCATTTGTCTGAAATGGTATAGGGTTTCCTGCCTAAGCAGAGGGTTGGACTAGAAGACCTCCAAGGTCCCTTCCAACTCTGTTATTCTATTCTATTCTTAACACAGTTCATTTTGTTTATTCAAGGTAGTGTCCCATCTTTAGCTGCTGGTCTTCTTTTCGGTGGGATAGCTGGACTTGGAGCATACCAACTGTCTCAAGACCCAAAGAACATTTGGCTTTCTCTGAGTAAGTCTGCCTTGAACAAATAGATATGTAAGACACATAAATATAATTATTACAAGCCTTCGATTTCAATGTGTTTAATACCATGTGTTCATAAGAGTACAGTTGATTTTGCTCAATAGCAGCAAAATCCTCCAATAGGATTCCTTCCACAGGAAATTGCAAAAATCGTATGCATTTTTTTAAAATAAGGGCACTAATTTGCAGTAAATTAGGGCAGATATAAAAAATTGGTACAAGATACTATTTTGGAAACCATTTGATGGATGAAAAATCACCTTGCCAAAAGTATGTAAAGGCGCTAATAGATTTAGTTCAAAATTCAAACCCATTATGTTAACCATTAATCCCTGTGAGTGATCTCATTCCCCCAAGAAATAGAAGTTAAATAGAAAGAAATTGGAGTGTATTATTCAGATTTATTGGGATGGTTTGGTTTGCTTAAAAAAGAAGCTGCTTGGATGAGAAGCGAAACAATTTCAAGAAAAAAACAAAATCCAGTTGCTTTTTGAAAAAACACCTCTGGGAGGTTTGCTCAATTTACCATTGTAAGCCAAAAAATACAAAAGCGGGAAAAATACATCTTTGAAATAAAACATAATTTTAAAAAACAGATAAAAAAGAGGACTGTTGGGATATGTTTGAGGTGAAAGTGCAAGTATTCTTATAAAGAGTTCAGTTGAGAATGTTGCAATGTAGGGAGTGGATCTTTTGACTCTGAGAAGTTTTAGAGATAAGATACTAAGTGAACATCATTTTCAGGTACAAGAAACACACATGAGATAATAATGCATCACATGTATTTTTTTTAATATGTAATTTTTTTTTATTAGTTGCTTCTGGAACCTTAGCTGGCATTATGGGAATGAGATTCTACAACTCAGGGAAATTAATGCCTGCAGGATTGATTGCTGGGGCAAGGTATTAAACTGCATGCTTTTCGGTTCTCACTGTTACATTAAGGGTATGATCTTGCATTAACTTTTGAGGGAGTTTTATTAAAAGTACTGAGATTTATGTCTAAGGATCAACAAATAGCACCATGCTACAACTGTGTTTTTCAGAAATTGACAATGAGTAACTATTAAATTTTAATAGTTTTAGATTAAATAGCATGTTGATCAAATAGGACCAAAATGACATTGAGCGGTCCCATAATTTTGGAAACTGGGACTGAACTATAGTACTGTATATCCAAAATGTTTCTTTTCCTCTTTCTTCCACCTACTCTGATCACAAGTATGAACATTATTTTCATACTTGGCCATGAAATGGATGTGTCAGCATGTGATCAGAAATAGGAGAAGGAAATGAAACAGAAACTAAGTTAAGGCTTAAGTTAGCTTTAAATTAGCTTTCAATTAGCACTGTTAATACCATTCATGTGATTCCCATGTATTTAATAATTTGTTCCCCTCTGTCACATTAAAAATGACAATTTAGTATTAATGGAAAATCTCTTGGGGACAAATTTAGCCTCGAAAGTTATACAGCCCCAAGTTATAGTCTGCCTCCCTTTTTCCAACCAACTGCCTTACTTTAAGCCACGGATGTCAAAGTTGTGTATCCGGTTGCCGTCACGTGACATTTCACGATGCTCTCCCCATTTCCGGAGTTGGGGTGGGTGTGGCTTGAGCGTGACACATCCGGCCCACAGGCCGCCAGTTTGACACCCCTGCTCTAAGCAGTGTTTCTCAATTTTGACAACCTTGGCAATATGCTGGCTGGGGAATTCTGGGAGTTGAAGTCCACACATCTTAAAGTTACCAACATTGAGAAACACTGCTCTAGAGGAAAGTGACCACAATGAATGCATGTCAGTATCTCTATCAAGAACATTTCTTGTTTGTATCTGCAGCAAGCTACAGTGACACCAAAACTATGTCTTCTTGCAGTACCGTCATTATGTGTTCCTACCTGATGTCTGGTTGCAATGTGGAATTTCCATGATTTTATTTATTTACTTAATTATTTTTACTAATAATTCACCATGCCTTCCTCCTCCTATGTTCCTCGCAACAGCAACCCTGTGAGGTGGGTTGGGCTGAGAGGGAGGGTGACTTGTCCAAGGTCATCCAGCTGCCTTTTATGACTAAAGCAGGGCTAGAACTCACAGTCACCAAGTTTATAGCCTGGTACCTTACCTTAACCACTAGACAAGGTTTTCTCCCGCCAATGTATTTGCTTTCGCCTCTTTGTCTCTAATTAAACCCATGTTTGAGATAGGGCATTAATGTAGAAAATATTCCCTTTTCTTTTATTTCTCATAAACTGTGTGTATTTTTTCTTTCAAGTTTGGTGATGGTTGGAAGACTTGGGCTGAAGATGTATGACAAGCCACATAACGGATAACAGGGCACTCTCTGTGGCTAAGAAGAAAGATCACACATCAGCTCAAATATGCCATGCTAAACTCAGCAAAGCACACATCCTAATTCTTAAGTGACCAAATTAAAAGCAACTGCGTTTGTGAATATAGACACTCTTTTTGTACACTAGCATTTCTTTCTTCATTCCAGTAGGAACTTTTGATTAGTAAGGCAACTTTGTCATATTCCTCAAAGTGGTAACAAGAGAAGTAGCTAGAAAAAGACAAAGAACTAGGTTGGCTGAGCTAAGAGAGAGAGAGAGAAAATAGGGTCAGCCAATATTGATTTCTACTCCTGTGTCTTTTATAAAGAGTTGTGTGAGCAGGGTGCTGGCACTATTTGCTGGCGTCACATTATCTCACCCAACTAAGGGAGCAAAATCACTTGCATGAACATTTCCACTGTTTCCCTTGCCCTTGCCTGCGGTGCTCCGGATGCTTAGGTCTCTGCAGTTGCCTTAATCCAGCTTACGGTGACCTGGTGTTGATCTGATTTATAGGAAATACACCATTTCATCATTCTCAACCAAGATGGTCAATTGCTGCGAATGAAGGGGTTTCAAGATCCATATGCAGGGAAGATATCAGGATGAAGGAACAATAGATTGAATTTTGAGCTCTTGGTTTATCCCTGAAGAAACAGAGATCGTCTTCCCCCTGTCTAAAATGCTCCTAAAATAAATTGTGTTTTGTGAAGTGAGTCTCTATGAAACATTGTACTCTTGTCTTTTTTCTTAAGCAGTTGTTTATCAACCGTTTACAAGAAGCGGTTGAAATGCAATCTTTAATCATGAATCTGTGCCTTGTTAAAACCACTGAATTTGTTCTTATCTATGAGTTGTTCATGATATTAAAATCTTCCTAAATTACACTAAAGCTTCTACCATGATTTCTTTCAAGAAAGTTTCCGACATGGTCTAGAAATTGTAGGAGTTTGCTGTAACATGTACAAATACTTTGCACTCTGTAAGATCAAAACTGGTTTTGCAAACGATTTCAGATTGATCTTCTTCCACAGAATGCTTCAGAAATCCTGCAACCCAAGAAAAGAGGATTTGTGTCAGCTCAGAATAGGCTCAGGTAGTCCTCGATTTACAGCAGTTCGTTTAGTGACCATTAGAAATTACAACAGTACTTTAAAAAAATGACTTATGACTGTTTTTCACTCTTGTGACCATTGCAGCCATTCCCCATGGTCATGATAAAAATTCAGAAGCTTGGCAACTGACTCATATCTATGACCATTGCAGTATCCTAGGGTCATGTTATCATGTTTTATGACCTGACAAGCAAATTCAATGGAGAACCCAAATTCATTTAGCAACTGTATTACTAACTTAAAAACTGCAGTGATTCCAGAAGTGGTATTCAGGAAGTTCTGTCCAGTTCTGGAGAACAGATAGCAGAAATTTTGAGTAGTTTGGAGAACCAGCAAATACCACCTCTGACAGACCAGGCCCCCACCTATTCTCTGCCTCCTGAGTCCCAGCTGATTGGCTGGGTCTTCTTTTGTTGCCCTGCACAGGAGAACGGAGCTGGAAAGCAGGTTATTGGGGTTGGGAGGGAGTGGGATTTTGCAGTAGCCTTCCCCTGCCATGCCCACCAAGCTACACCCACAGAACCGGTAGTAAAAAAAATTTAATCTCACTACTGAGTGATTCATTTAACAACTCTATCAAGAAAGGTCGTAAAATGGGGGAAAAACTCATTTAACAACTATCTTACTCAGCAACATAAACTTTGGGTTAAATTGTCATAAATTGAGGACTACCTGTATTATTTATAAACTTTTATTCATTAAACATGAAGCTCCGTCAACTGAACATTTAAAAATGTATCACAAATATTATTGAATGGCACTGACGGTTGATAATTATTGACTGGTACTGATGGTTGATACGAGTTGCTGCCAGCATCCAAGGTATCAATCAAGTACGTTCTTAAAATGTATGTTGTTCCTAGTAGTGTAGTCTTGCAGCTCTGCGGGAGCTACAGCAGGAAGCTACTACTTCTTGATGTATTTTGCAAAATTCTTGAACATGGTATCAAGTGCTCCGATTACAATGGGTATCACTCTTACATGTTTCATCCATAATTACAGTGAGCCAGAGCATGTTATCTGCCCTCCAGATATTTCAGATTAAGGTCTCATAACTTTCCCTTTACATGACTAATGCATCTAAAAGCAGTCACTTTGGAAATGCTAATACAGAGGTGGTTACAACCTCTTAACTTTATCCCTGACTAAGTGAAGACATGGAATGTATTGTACTCTGAACTAGACTTTCAATTTGAGGCATGAAGTAAAGAGTGGATTATAGTGCGATTCCCCTCAAAAGCCATGGCTGCATTTCGCAGCAAGATGAATTGAAAGCATTCAAGCATTATCCTAAAGAAACAAAAATGCTAACTTTAAGTTGCAGGGTGTCCACAGCACTGCTTCATAAACAAGTTGTGTAGGAACAATGAACCTATCAAAGTAAGAATACTTTTTAAAGGTATTATTATTGCTGTGTTGAACATTTAGAGGACAAGATTTTTGGTTGAAAGGCACAAAAACCACACAAAGTGGTTAATTCTCAGAAGAGTCACCACTCTTAATTGCCTCTCCACTATGACCCCGGCTACATTTTAGTTACAGGAAGCAGGATTGAGCACAGGTTTGCTTACCTCAAGGGTTCCAGATAATGCATACAGACATTAACACAAGTCACTTTTATTAGCATGGTTTGATATTAATTAAATAATTGACAAGCTACACTGTTACGTTGTAAGCAATTTCATATCTCGCTATTTGACTGTCTCACTGTCCCCATTTATCTGTATTTACTTCCCTCCTTGTTTATGTTCATACTTATACTTATCTTGTACATGTTTGACAAATAAATAAATATTTGTTTCCCCTTTTCACTGATAGTTAGACTGAACAAACAATGCAAATTGGGAATTAGTCCTCTGGTCAGAATCCCTGGATCAGATGAGATAGATCCTCTTTAAGATGCCAGCTGGTTTTATACAGTCTTGAATAATGTCATGAAATCATCCTAGAAACCTGTAAGAACTAAAAATGTTAAGCAGATTAAAACTTGTGGAATGCAAACAGCAACCTCCAAAATATTCCAGTGGGTCCTCTTAAATCAAATCTGCATGGAGGCTGCCAAAAGTATATGCATCTAATAACTAATAAGAATATGCACCTGAAACGAATTGTCTGCATGCTGCTGGGATGACTTATGGATCAGGTGTGACAAAGGAGAAGTTAAAGGAATAGAATTTAAAAATGTGGGATTGAAATTATGTGTTTATGAACTAGAATAGGGGGAGGGGAAATCCAGAGGTTGAGAGTCAGAGTGATATAGATGATAAAGTGTTGAATTAGGAACAGGAAACCAAGATGGTTTAACATAATTCTAGGTCGACCTTTGCTTTTTAATTATTTTTATATTGGATTTTTATCTTTTTAAGCCCCCACGCGGAGTCACTGAGAGTGAGTTGGGCAGTTCATGACCACAACTGAAACCAGAATTTCTGTTATTAAGGGAGTCATGCTCAATTTTATGACCTTTTTGCCAAGCTCGTTAAGCAAATCATTGCAGTTGTTAAGTGAATCAGCATTAAGCAAGTTCAGCTTTCCACATTGACTTTGCTTGCCAGAATCTGGCTGAGAAGATTGCAGATCTTCAGGTGTTCACATGATCCTGGGATACATGCCAGTTGCCAATCATCCAAATTTTGATCATGCGACCATAAGGATGCTGCGTTGGTTGTAAATGTTGGAAGTCACTTTTTTCAGGGCCATTGTAACTTTGAACGATCATTAAATCATTGTAAAACAAGAGTTATCTGTATAAATTTTCTTAAATAAATAAATAGCTTAGCCACATGGAAGCTGAATCTTCAGACCAACCACTCTCATTCAACCAAGTTATCTTACAGGAGAAGAATTGGAGAAGGGAGTTTTATGTACTGTATGCTTTTGGAGAAAAAACAGCATGATGGGTTTAACTGCTTGATGCTTAATTGATAGTTAATAGTTAATACTTAATAGTTAATCCATTTTGGTTTTTCATAATACTTTACTACATCTTACAGTATCCACAAGATTCAAGGTTCATTCAAAATGATGAAAGTTTTTGTGTTGTCATGAGACATGTTCTATTCCTTTCAACTGTGTGTACAATGTCACTGTGAACTTTCAAAAAGCAGCATAGCTGGCATTGCAACCGTGCAATGCTGCTTTCATCATTTAATGCCTCTAAATTGTACACCCACTTGTGACAACCAGACCTTCGTGTTAAGATCTCTATGGTTAGATTGACAGGGTAACTCAGGGAAAAGTAAATCCAGTGCTTAATTTGCTCTTCTCAACATGACACCTTTGCTGTTCTTACCATCTGTAAGAGCAACTACTGAGCAATGCCTTGACATCTTATGAACTGCAGACAGCTAAAATAAACTGCTTGCAAAAATATCTTCAACCACTTAATTTTTTTAGCAAAACATTGCATGTCTTCTCTCCAAGAAATCATAGTATATAGAACATACTGATCTGTCAACATTCTAAGCCTGAATTTGTGGATTAATTTCATTAAAAAAGGACAGAGAACTTGGATTACAAAGTAATTTTAACAGAAGCAAGAAATCTTGATGTGTGTGTGTCTGTGTGTCTGTGTGTAGAGAAGAGATAACTACAAGTGGAGTAGGCTTATACTCTTCCTAGGTATGCAGCCAGGAAAAAATGATGAAACTATTTCTTCAAAACCTTATAAGGAATCTTATAAGAAAAAGTTATCTTGATGGTACACAGTATCAGAATTGGGGGATTGCAGGAAGGATCAAAAAGTTAAGAGGTGATGACCATGATGACACAATCAAAGCCCTGCCCCTTTCTTACAGGTGTTCTCCTTGATCAGAGTTGCGGAATGTGCCAGTTTTATTGGTCCCTTCATCCTGGCCCATTATAGCTTGATCAATGCTTTCTATATTCCTGTTTATTAATATTTAGCGCAAAGACTGATAAAGGTGAGAGAAAGAATGTTCTGTGTCTGTACACAAACACAGCCATTAGAAGCCAAACTAGCGCCATGCCGTTCTATTATAGCGATGCATTCAAGCATTATAAGCCAGCCTAGTAAAGCCACATCTGTCTGGCGTTGAATATTGGAAGAATATTCTACCTTCAGAACTATTTCTGTTTTACAGGTATCAAAAAATTTACAGCAATAGAACAATGGAGGTTGCTTCCATTCTAGTGTTTGAACCACATAGACATGTGACACAGCAGGGTAGAAGAGAAAAACTATTTCTCCTTGCATTATTTTTTGATCCCTAGAATCTGCTGGTCACCTCTCTTTGCTTATCCAAATGTTCTTCCCTGGCTACAAGTCAAACACCAGTATTGCTCAGATCAAAAGTGGTCGCTCTACTACAATGTAGGTTTATTTTGATTGTAAAGACCCTGAGAAAATCTCAGTGTGATACCCTTTAAATGAACAAATCAGCATTTTGAGCCATCCATGATTGATGCAACGCAAACACGGATCTATATAAAACTCTCACTCAATTGTAACTGACAGCAACCAGATTAGAAATTGCTGGGTGATACATGAAAAGCTGGGCCAAGTGTGTAAGCAGCTTATAATTGTGTAAAAGAAAACTAGGCTATTGTGGTATAATAGCAAATCTCGATTACAAAGAGCAAACAGAGATCTGCATCATGCAGATCATTACTATTGAATAATATTTGGAAAATTCAGAAGCCAAGAATAACTTGGCAACTTAGTTTAAAATAATCAGCATTTGATAAACAGGAGTACATGGTTTCTTTAGTTAATTCATCTATATTTATTGGGAGTTTTGCATACAGTAA